CAAATGCCTGGGCTAGATCATCCCATATGTACCATCTTCCGTGATCCTACCGAGTATACCATTCCAGCACCGAATCACTCAGACTCTGACTGAAATACGCCATTAGCAGCTCATCTTTCCCGCCAGCTCCCCTCATTTTGCTACAGAAACCTCTCAAATGCGCCACTGGATCACCGTGCCCATCATACAAATCAAACTTGGGCATCTTAAACCCTGCCGGCAATTGCACATCTGGAAATAGACATAGATCTTTGTAAGCCACACTTATTTGACCTCCCAACCCCCGCATGTCTCTGAATGACTGTTCCAGGCTTTTAACTTTCCTTAACATCTCCTCATATTCGAGATTTTTAGATGGTTTTTTGGTTTCTGCAAGGAGGTCAAAATGAGGAGTGTAGGAATAGGGTTCTAGAACCTTGAAAGTGGGCTCCGGGGGGTAATACTGGTTGTTGTGATTCTGAAACAGAGGCTTACTAGCGGATCGGTGTAATGCAGCAGGTGGGGGTGCCACAAAAACAGGAGTGACTGGTGGAGGAGGGTACGAGATTTGTTTGGGTGGTAGAGCTTGTGATGTATGGGAAGTGGTGCCGTGGCATTGTTGGTAGAGGGGAAAGGCCGGAGATGAGTTCATAGTGGGAGGTTCCTGGGGCTGAGCCAATGGCGGGATAAAACAGGGTTGGTGGGGTAAACTGGCGGTGGGTTCCCTTTTGCCCATGTTTGGTACATTTCAGCCATCTGTTGTTTCAGCTTATACAACTCATCTTTCAAATTAACCTTCGATTCTTCCACCTCTTTTGATGGATCGACAATACTTGCCTCAAGTTCTTGGTTGGCCATGTTCAGCTTATTTTTGGACCGGGTGTTGTAGGAGTGAGTTACCAGAATGCCAATCAAACTAACCACCTGCCTGTTACTTGACGACAACCGCAAACTTGTTAACGATCAGGGTTTAACAGATAGGCAACCACACATTTGGGGAATGAATGCACCTAAGTAGTTAACCGTTTCTATTATGCATTTGATCGGTTGCTTGCGTCATCCCGGCTTTTCCTTATTTTCATTTGCAACTTCTCTTTTCTCTCCCTTTTTTTTCTTTTTTATTCTTGCCTTTCCTTGCTTGATCTCTCTTTGTTTTTATTCTCTCATGACTCTTTCTTGCTTTGCCATTGTTTCCTTCTCACTGTTTCTTATAAAATTAGCAGACTCGAAAAGGGAAATTAATAGACTCTGACTCAAAACAAGACCAACAGACTCTGACAAAAAGGTGAAAACAACAAACTCGAAAACCAACTAACAGACTCCAATAAAAGAAAATACAGACTCGCAAACAGACTAACAGACCCTAATGAAAATCATGAATACATTAATGCCTCAAATGCTCCTGGGGCCCGCGGGACATCATTCGGTCTCGCCACGGGCCTATAGGCAAGATCCTTTTGAAGCCTCTCCAAGACACTCATTATCTGGCAGACAAATTTCATTACTGCCGCGAAGAAAGTGGTGCGAGTCATATCCTCACATGCTTGGCATTTCACAACAATGCAGTCGGCAATGGCTCTGACCCGCTCTCGGATTCTACCCTTTTCCTGAAGCAAACGCCCGACCTGTTGATTCTGGACTTCTAACACCTGAGTGTCATGGAGATGTTGATTTTGCAACCGTTGCATTTCTTCCTCCATCTGAGCCATCAAATCATAACAGTGTTCCCTATCAGCTTTAAAGTCCTTGGCCTACTTGACTGCCTCATTCTCGAGGGTAGTCATTTTTCTCTTCAGGCTGGTGATTGTCCCTTCATACTTTCTTTTCATTTGTCGCACAAACTATGCCCGCTCTTCCGTATTTTCCGCCAATTGAGCCCGAACTTTCGCCAGACTGGACTCAGACTTTTCTAGGTCATCCTGACACTCAAGGGCTTTCTTTTTCAGACTGCTTATGAGCCTTTCATCCGCTCGACTTCTTTCCGGGTTTCTAGCAGCTATTTTCAACTTCCGGATTTGAGCTTTGAGGGCTTCATTTTCCTAGGTTTAACTTCTTCTTTTCGCCTTCATCTGCGGCGGCTTGCAACCCATTCTCAAACTGAATGTCCATGACTTGCTTTTCCAGCCTGCTTATGGTGGCTCGGTACTCATTTTCTTTGGTCAACCAGTCCCATTGCACCTATGCTCCGTTGGTAAATTGTTGGACATGGGGTTTCTTTGCGGGCCTTTCGGGCTCATGATGAACTCGGGATCTTTTACCATACCAAGCAGTGTAACTAGGCTCCACCTCGCCTCTGGATAGATCTCGTACTTGAGTTCTAGGCTATAAGAATCTGCACTGATGCCAAATTCGATGCACTTTTTCTTCTGGAAAAGCGGCTTTTGGTTCCAACTCAATAACCTGCCGACTCAAATCCTCATCATGTGGGATGGTCTGGTATCGGCCTAATTGACGTAGAACTCGGTGCGGAGCATAAGGCTGGATACTTCGAGACCCATCAACAGCAAAAAACATACCTCAGCCGACATATAAATTACTTCACTGGCAGAGAGCCACCCGAATGTCCATTCGACCTTATTTGCAGTCAAAGATCTCAAACGAGCATGTCATGCTTCCGTACCATCCGGGAACTCATAACCCTCTACTCGCTTTTCATGTTTTTCAATGCACTTGAGGCCAGTCATACCACAATTCAAGTATCCGGGACGGTGGCAAAGGTGTTCCTCCATCCATAATTGTAACAGCATATTGCACCCTTCAAAGAACTTTCCCCCTTCTCGACAAAGGGTCAGAGCTCAGTAAATTTCTGCCAAAATCATCGGCACTATGGTCCCATTTGCCTTTTTCATCATAAAGTCGGCTATCCCCACGAGTCCTAAATCTATGTTCCCTTCTTTTCTGGGGCAAATCAAAGTACCCAGGAACGCCATTATAAAAGCTAATCCTCTCCGAGCTTCCCACTTGTCTTGGTTTCCCGCATGAGTAAGACCGGTATCTGGCGTCTCGAAGCCACGGGGATTCCCGTAACGTCGGTACAAAAAGTAGAAGGTACAGAATCCTTTGGCCAAATTTCTGTCTCGGATGTCTCGACTGATGCTTAAAAGTCCAAAAATTTGTGAGGGGTTATTGTTCTCGGTACTACCGGGTATTGATTTCTAAGATTCTCATCGAAACCGGCGTAGCCTGCTATCTCTTCCAGTGTAGGAGTTACCTCGAACATCGGTGCTTCAATCTCCAGTATATTATACTGGAACTTTTCGTATGTTGGAGTTCCAACATAATATGCTGGAAGTTCATACACAGGTGCACCGATCTCCAGTATATTATGCTAGAACTTTCCGTGTTGCAGCAAAATAGTGGTTATTTTTCAATGACTTTACAAACGCTGGCTATTTTTGAATGACCAGTCCGAAAACTGGCTAGCCCGTGCTATTTTTACCAGGTTAATGAGTACAAAACTTTAAAAGAATTACAAAATTTTAAATTGAAAATCATGTTTGAGTATTCATTAAAAACTTAAAGAAAGAAGCACAAGTTTTTGAAAATAATAATCTTTCGGTGTTTCCTATATATGTGTTATTTTCCTATTTTTAATATATATATANTTCTACATTTCATTTGGTTTTATCTGCGTAATTAGGTTAACTTGTGTAAAAGTGCCAATATTTGGTTAACGTTCAATTTTATATCTTTATTCTAATTGAAGGCAACAATGCAAATTATATGGGGAGTCCTTTGTTATTATACAAGTTAAAAAGAATATGTAAAAATCTAATTCAATCAAATCGGGATGAGAGGAACATGCATTTAGAAAGATTTTAACGTCCAAAATATTAGGGAAGGGAATTATATAAAATAAAATTTTGATTTTGCATTCCTTAATATTAGGAGTTTTTACGTAGTTCAAATAAAAAAAGATTTAATGATCAAATTCAAAGTCCTAATAGAATTTAAAGTTCTAAATATTAAGACTTTCTATCTACTTCAAATAAGAAAGACTTCAGAAATAAATTTTAGTTGATCTCAAATTCTTAATAATTAGGCAAATAATCAAATAATTTTTTTGTCCAATATAAACTCTATTTTAAAGGGAAATAAAGGCGAATTAGTTTTATTTCAATGTAAAATCTTTTCAAATAAGGACGGTTTTTATATGATTTTTGTTACTAATTTATGTGAAAGTTAGATGCAATGTTGTAACTATCAACAGGAAAATCTGCAAAATTATCCAAGCGGCAAAATGACCAAAAAATTAATTTAACATTTAAATTTAAAAAGATAAGTAATTAATCTTATTCCTAGAAAATACCTAACCCCGAAACCCGCATCTTTAAACAAAAAATTATTTCCCTTAACTCCATCACAACGTCTTCTTAATTAAAAATCTATTACTCTCAAAATTTCGATCTGATCCAAACTATGCCAGGATGGCCAGCACATTTTAGTATTCTCACAAGCGGTGATAATCAATACGAACAATATACAAATGAAATTGTGCACCATAGCTAGGTTTCTTGGATGGCCAAAATGTTCTCCAAGGGATATCTATTAAAAAAAAAGGCAACTTTTCAACCTATTAATTATATTAATATTGATATGTTTTAACATTGTTGCACCAATATTTATCAGTTGAAGGGTTTATATATATTATATTATCTACTATTTCATGAAAAAAATAAAAAAGATACAAATATTTTTAAATATTTAAATGCAAACTTTATCCTGATTTTTTTTTCAATTTCTTCCTAGTACTTAAATAATTAAATTGTAATTCAAGAAAAAATAGTAAAATTTGAGTAGACTTGAATGTATGAATATCCAGTGCATTTACATGTTCATAAAATAATAATATCACTTACATGCTTCTTTGTGCGTATGTAATATTTTCTTGTGAAAACTTATATGTAATATTTTCTTGTGAAAACTTATATTTAATATTTTCCACGCAACGCACAGATATGAATACTAGTTGCTTAGAATACTATAAGTGCCTTCTGGCATGAAAATATGCAACTCAAGGATGAATTTTCAAACGTGTATTAATTCCAATGCAGAAGAAAATACTGAAGCCAAAGAGCTGTAGGGCAGAAATGCAAAAAGACCCAATTCGAATACAATTACAGTTGGTATAATAATATATATAAACAAAAAATAAGCATAGTTGGTGAACCTCAGGGGAACGCAAGATCTTTACGGCTCTGCAAATCTCAAGTATAGCTTGCTGCAACTAAGTAAATAATCAGGACTAGAGCAACATCCAAGGCCTACAAAACTTTGCCATCGCCATTTATTCTGGTTCTTAGCTTGAGTGTACTCTCATGTAAAATAAAAAGCCAGAGGATGTTGCCTATTCAAACATCAAGGAGCAAACGACGGGGATCTTCCACCACATCCTTAATTCTTCTCAGAAAGAACACTGCCTCTCTTCCGTCAATCAGTCTATGATCATATGTCAGAGCAATGTACATCATTGGTCTTGGAACAATGTTGCCTCCAACAACCATTGGGCGACTGACTATTGAATGCATTCCCAAGATAGCAGACTACAAAATCAACCAGCAAATTTTCGATTGTGAGATAGGTTGACAGGGCAATTGCAACCACTTCCTATGTTGCACAAAGACACATACCTGAGGAGGATTTATGATAGGGGTACTGAGAAGACTTCCATAGACTCCACCATTTGATATTGTGAACGAACCTCCAGCCATCTCATCAATGGATAGACTTCCATCATTTGCCTTCTTAGCAAGCCCGTTTATTGTCTTCTCTATCTCAGCAAAATTCATCTGCTCAGCATTGCGGAGAACTGGTACGACAAGACCCTGAGCATGGAGAAAAACAGTGGCCAGAACACTCAAAAGTAGAACCAAAAAGAGAGAAGTTTGAAGGACAAAATGAGACTGATTAGGAAGTTTCCATGTAATCTAAAACTTTGAGGCAACGAAAGGTTTAGCTTGCCTTTGGGGTACCAACAGCAATACTGATGTCTATATAATCCCTATATATGATGTCATCGCCATCAATAACTGCATTAACTATTGGCTGACTCTGGAGTGCGCTAACTGCTGCCTGAAATATGTATAAGCATTTTAGGCCAGAGTTTCACAAGAAGTATACAAATTAATAGAAAACAGCCTTTCCTATTCGTACTTTCACAAATCCAGACATGAATCCTAACTTCACTCCATGCTTTTCAACAAAGGCGTCTTTGTAATCAGTGCGGAGCTGCATTAAATTTGTCCTGAAAAGAGAACCAATGAAGAAAGTAAGCTCATCACAGATGCAAAACAAACATTTCAATACCTATGATAAATGCCCACTACACCTCTCCTATATCAGAAGAGCAAAAAATAGAAACGGAAGTTATAAACTTACAAATTTCAGTTGCCGTTTTAAAAACTTCTTTTTTATTGGTAGAAGTGCTGTATATAAAATTCAAGAAAATATTAACATCAAGATCTAAATCTTCCAAACCAAACTTGATCAATTTTCTGCTGACTTGGCACGTCTGTTAATATTCAGGTTTAATATTGGTTAAATAAAGATGCAGAAATATTAGCACAGAAAAGATGATCTGTTTAATACCAAATCACTGTTCAAACTTACATATCAACTTCATTGAACGTCGTCAGCATTGCAAATGTGTTCTGAGAATCTTTCAAACGTGTGGCAACTCTTTTTCTGAGCCTAGTCATGGGAACCTGTCATCAAAACAGAATTCTAAAGTTACACGTAGTAATTGCGAATGATGCATAAACAAGTATTGCCATGAAAATGAGATTACAACAGCATCAATTGTTGACTCACTCGTCTTTCCCGTTCTCTGGGGGGAAGTTGGAGTTCTGTAGGAGAGCGTTTAGGGGGTGGAGGTGAACTCTCCTTCGGCTTTTCCTTAACAGGAGTAGTCTCAACTTGAGGTTTTGCCTTCTCCTCTTTCTTATCTTCAGCTGGGGGGGATGGCTGAGGAGCTGCTTTTTCAGATGGCTTCTCAGATGCAGGAACATGTTCCACACCCTCACCAGATTTTGAAATGATAGCAACTTTATAGCCTGG